GGGAGGCCGTGGGGATCGGATCACAACGTTAGGAGTTCGAGACCAGACTGGCCAACATCGTGACCTGCCGTCTCTACTAAAAACACAAAAATTAGCCGGGTATGGTGGTGTGCACCTGTAATCCCAGCTACTCGGGAAGCAGAGGCAGGGGAATCGCTTGAATCAGGGAGGTGGAGGTTGTGGTGAACTGACATCTCGTCACGGCACTGCAGCCTGGCAAGAGAGGCAGACTCCATCTCAAGAAAAGAAAAGAAAAGAAAAAAAAAAAACCCTCATTCCCCAAATGGCGCATGCGCTTGCCTTGTAACAATATTAGACACGTCTGGGACGCAGGTGTAGGTGGTTAAGAACCCCTAGCGCTCACCTCTGCTCTCTGCCACTCCCTCTGCCTTTCAGAGCATTTCAATCCGTTCAGTTTTCCCCTGGGTTAAATGGTGATAGCAAGATCAATCATCGATTAAATGAAAGCCAAGGTTGATGGCGCTTTGTAAAGCACAGTGCCCGAAGCATCTGCAAGGGGGAGGCATGTTCAGGTTTATTTTAGAGTCCAGCCTGGAATTTGCATTTCTTTTTGTGGTCCCCACACCTCCCCCTCTCCCAGCCCAGGAAGAACACTGCGGTCGCTCTCCTGTTTCACAAAGTGAGTTTAGGGAAAGGTTTACCGCAGGGGATTCGTTTGCATCGTGCCAGAAATACTGAGTGCCTACTATGTGCAAAACGTTGGCTGGACTCTTCATAGCGAATAGAGATACTCATTGAACGCCAATTCATTCCCTCGAGCCAAAGATAGGAAATACATTCAACTGTTTCTTAGGGTCAGATTAGGACACAAATGCTGAACAGTCTTCCTGCGCCGCCTCCTGGAGAGGAAATGAAATAGAAAATGAAGTTGCGCCAGTAAGGCCCTTAGCCGGGGTGCCCGGGACATGGTAAAACAGTCCTGACATAAGTAACTTTTATTAATAGCAATGTTAGCTAATTAAAATAGCGTTTATTGAGCGTTGGATATCAGGCACGGTGCTAATTCTTTTAGATATAGTTTGTTTTACTCTCCCCCAAACAATAGGGTGGTATTGATCACCCTCGATTTGCAGACGAGGAAACTGAGGCACAGATAAATCCTGGTAGCTCTTAGAAGAAACACGCAGTGTAGTCAAGCTAGCAAGGTGTTCACTGCTGTTTCTACAAAACCCCTCACAATGCCTGGTGCGGAGAAGCTCAGCATGCATCTGTGGGATCAGTGATTTCGATGCCTGCTTCTTCCTTTTTTTTTTTTTTTTTTTTTTTTTCCGGGACGGAGTTTCGCTCTTGTTGCCCAGGCTGAAGTGCAATGGCGCGATCTCGTCTCACTGAAACCTCCGCCGCCTCCTGGATTCAAGCCATTCTCCTGCCTCAGCCTCCCGAGCAGCTGGGATTACAGGCGCCTGCCACCGCGCCAGCGAATTTTCCTGTATTTTTAGTAGAGACGGGGGTTTCTCCATGTTGGCCAGGCAGGTCTCGAACTTCTGACCTCAGGTGATCCACCCGCCTCGGCCATCGAAAGTGCTGGGATTACGGATCCACCGCGCCCGGCCCCTTATAAAGCTTTGTGTTTTGAAATAATTACAGGCAAGGAGTTGCAAAAACAGTGGACTGGTCGCGAGTGTCCTTTTTCCTTGGTTTCTCCCGGGAGGATCGTCTTACATAACAATGGCCAAACCTGGAAAATGAGTTGGGTGTAATCCACAGACTCTCTTCAGCTTGTCATGGGGGTTTTAATAGAAGTGCTGGACATTTTGCAAGCTAATATCGTTGCTATGGTTTCATTCTCAGTTAAAACGGCGCTCTCTGCTTTGTGCACCTGAAGACTTGCACACCAAGGGCGACCACAACAGCCCCCGAGACGTCCAGTCTGTATCCAAGAGCAGCCGTGCCGGCGCTGAAGGGGTCAACAGGAGACCCTTCCCCCGTGCGCCTGCGCGGCGACGCTTCGCCCCGCCTCCGCAGAGCGGTCACATGACCCGCCCAACCGGCGTCCGCCTATAAATTGCTGAGTGTTGACGTCAGCGTTCTCTTCCGCCGTCGTCGCCGCCATAATCGGCGCGACTCGTTTCTTTCGGATCTACCTGGAAGAATCCACCGCCATCCGCCACCATGGTGAGTAACTCTGCCTCACTGGTGCTCTAGAACGGCGGCGGGGCCTCCGCGGGGCCGACGCTGCCTAGTCTGGGACGCTGGGGCTGTCCGCGCCTGGAGGAGACGTGGAGCCGGCGGGACCGGAGGAGCCGGGGCTGGGGAAGCGGCCGCCGCCATGTCTGTGCGCCGCGCTGTTCGCCGAGCCCCTTCTCCGCTTCCGGGGACGCCGTAACCTTGCCTGGAGCCGGCTGGAGCTGGGGTAGCGGCGGGGGTGGGGGTGGGGAACGATGATGTGGCAGGTGTTGTAATGGCGGGCGCCGCGGTGGAAGCGGGGAGACGGGGAAGCGCCTTATGTAACCCCGCGGGCCGCAAGTTTGAGATCGATTTTCTGCCGGAGGACGAGGGGCGGCAGAGAAATGGCAGAACGAGCAAAGCCCGCTTCCCTCTCCCAATACCCGCTGCCGTCGGCCCTAGGCGCTTGTCCTTCCCGTGACTCCCAGACGTGCAGTCTGTATTTGAGACACGAGGTGTAGGCTGGTGCCTTAGGGCCGTTCAGGCTCCGCGTTGTGTCTCCGGCTGGGTGGTCTTGTCTCATCATCCCCCTTGCTGGGGGGGTGACCTGGCATTTTATAATGGAGCTTTTTCTTCGGGGAAGCCTGGGTGGCCTGGTGACAACGTGGAGGGAGGGGGCTTTGGGAGCGGGTCCATTCCTTATGCGTTTGACCCTAAACACTCCTTAGCATCGTGTTTGGTATCAAGGAATTGCGTTGCCACCCGGTTTTATTCCCGAGGAGTTTTGTTTCTGGGTTGTCAATCCTGAATGACCCCTATTAACGGTGGTTCTTTGGGAGATTTCGTGGTGATTCCCAAGGGGTGTTAGGGTGGCAAGATTGGATGGCCTTGGGGCACTCTAGCGACAACCCCCTCCTGGCCTTGGGCCTGGTGTTTCGTTTGGACTGAATGCTCCATGCCAAGCTGTGTTCCTGGGAGTGGCGAGCTTGTCTGAGCCTCCCCTCCTTGCCCAGGTGAACTTCACGGTAGACCAGATTCGCGCCATCATGGACAAGAAGGCCAATATCCGCAACATGTCTGTCATTGCCCACGTGGACCACGGCAAGTCCACGCTGACAGACTCCCTGGTGTGCAAGGCTGGCATCATCGCCTCTGCCCGGGCCGGGGAGACACGCTTCACTGACACCCGGAAGGATGAGCAGGAGCGCTGTATCACCATCAAGTCAACGTGAGCGCCCGTGCCCTCTGCACCCTGGCAGGAGGTGCTGGCCTGGTAGCTGGAGGCCACCGGGCCAGGGTCGGGGGCGGGGGAGACTAGGCAGTGTCTGTTTCCCTTGGTTTTTTTCATTTCTGGGAAGAATGGGTGACGTTCAGTCCAGCAAGACAGGTTGGAGAGGCCCAGGGATAGGGGACTGGGAGCTGGAGGGGTGTCTTGAGGAGGGAGCTTAACTCTGGTCTCCCTCCCTGGGGGACTTTTTTCTGCTCCTGAAATTTCTGGAGATTTGTTGTCACGTCTGGGAGGGGAGGGTGTTCCTGGCACTAGGGATGCTGGGAAACTCCTGTCTGTCACACTCGGAAGGGGATGGCGTTCCTGGCATGAGGAGTGCTGGGAAACTCCTGTGTTGCACAGGACAGCATTTATTTCATGACAGTTTCTGGCCCCTGATGTGAGCAGGGTGAGTCTGAAAGGTGAGAGCAGAGCTCAGTGACCCCAGCTGCTCTCACCTTTCAGTTCTGGGTTGGTGCCAGTGTGAGGGTTTTCCACTTAAGCTTTTCATTTTTGCTGGAGGTGGGGGAGAAATGAGTAGGGAAGGGTTGGAGTCTCTGGAGGCTTTGGCTGTCTAGCTGGGTCTTTTACTTGTTACTTCGAGTTGGGCCTGATGAGTCTTGGGGAACCAAGTCGGCTGGGAGGGGGGTCTGGACAGGCGGACTCTGGCTCTTGAGGAGCTGTCTATGGAGCTTGTACCAGGAGTTTCCTGTCTTGGGGAGAAAGGACTGCAGAGGCAAATGACAAGGGTGGGTTGGTTCTTGTGGGAGCCTCTCCAGGGATGAGTCATGGAGGGAGGAGCAGCCTGACTTCTGACAGCATCCCAGCCTCCGTGGGCCAGGTGTGGCTCCTGTCCCCTGACCGGTCCCTCCCTCCCTCCCTCAGTGCCATCTCCCTCTTCTACGAGCTCTCGGAGAACGACTTGAACTTCATCAAGCAGAGCAAGGATGGCGCTGGCTTCCTCATCAACCTCATCGACTCCCCCGGGCACGTGGACTTCTCCTCGGAGGTGACTGCTGCCCTCCGAGTCACTGACGGCGCCTTGGTGGTGGTGGACTGCGTGTCAGGTAAGCATGGAGTCCTGAGGCAGGGCCCAGAATCCGGGGCTGTCCCAGCTTGAGGATGACAGCGCGCCTGGTCCCCTGCGTCCCCAGGCGTGTGCGTGCAGACCGAGACGGTGCTGCGGCAGGCCATTGCTGAGCGCATCAAGCCCGTGCTGATGATGAACAAGATGGACCGCGCCCTGCTGGAGCTGCAGCTGGAGCCCGAGGAGCTCTACCAGACCTTCCAGCGCATCGTGGAGAATGTGAACGTCATCATTTCCACCTACGGCGAGGGCGAGAGCGGCCCCATGGGCAACATCATGGTACGGCTTTCCCCGGCTGCGTGTGCTTCCACAGCGGGATTCTCAGGAGCTGTTGGGAGACAGAGGAGACTTGAAAGGACCAAAAGTGTGTCATTGGCAGGATTAATGGGGTGACAGAGAAGGGGGCTGGCATGTTCTAAACCGACCTGACTAGCCCTTGATCTTTGGGCAGCCAGAGGCGATGGGCTCAGGGAACGGCACCCCTGGGTGGTGGAGGGACTCCAGCGGGGCTGGCCCCTTGTTCGTGATGACTGACCATTTCTTCACTTTGACCTGATATCTGCTGAAGAAATCCAGTGTCTGAGACTTGCACCCCTGGTGCTCAGCCTGCAGCTGCCGGCGCTGCCCAGGGCCGCTGCTCACTGCTGCCTCCTGCCTCTCATGCTTTCAGATTGATCCTGTCCTTGGGACTGTGGGCTTCGGGTCTGGCCTCCACGGGTGGGCCTTCACCCTGAAGCAGTTTGCCGAGATGTATGTGGCCAAGTTTGCTGCCAAGGGGGAGGGCCAGCTGGGGCCTGCCGAGCGGGCCAAGAAAGTGGAGGACATGATGAAGAAGCTGTGGGGTGACAGGTGAGCCCCATGGGATATGGTGGGGAGTTGCTGACACCTGAGGGGGGTGGCAGTGATGCAGGGTTATGGTGCAGTATTTACAGCACAGCTGGTGCCCACCAGTCACACCTACAGAGCCCTGCCCAAGTTGTAGGGGTGTGGTGTGGTGTGGTCACAGTGCGGCTCAAGCCCATTAGTTGCCCCACAGTCCTGCCCAAGCATGTCCCCTTGGCAGCCCTGACTTGTTTTGACCTGGTTTCTGCCCACCAGGTACTTTGACCCCGCCACTGGCAAGTTCAGCAAGTCCGCCAGCAGCCCTGATGGGAAGAAGCTGCCTCGCACCTTCTGCCAGCTGATCCTGGACCCCATCTTCAAGGTAGGTGGGAGGGCTGCACCAGCACCCTGCGCTGTGTGCCAGTGGGACTATTGGCCCTTGGATGTGGGGGCTCCCTTGCTTCCCTGTCAGCCGACTGGGCCCATCTCCCCATGGGGCAGGCGTGAGACAGGAGGCACAGCTCCTAACTGAGGTGGAGTCAGGGCTCCTCTCCCGAGATCTGGACTGCAAGGCCAGAGCCTTGGGACTGCCCTGTTAAGCGGGGGTGGATGACCAGGGGCTTTGGTTACAGGTGACCATTCAGTGGCTAAGTTAGGGCTGTGCACTCGTCTAGAAGTCAGAATGGGCTCTCTGCTCTTCCATGGCGTCTCCTCCAGGTCCTGATCTGCTCAGCTGGCCCTGGTGGCAGGCCACGCTTGCTCCCGCTCCTGCGTTGCCCTCGCGCTGGCCCAGGTCTCTTGAGGAATCAGCACCAGCTGTCCTCGGGCTGTTCCCAAACGTGCTTTCTTGTCTCTGGGCGAATTTAGGTGTTTGATGCGATCATGAATTTCAAGAAGGAGGAGACGGCAAAGCTGATAGAGAAGCTGGATATCAAGCTGGACAGCGAGGACAAGGACAAGGAAGGCAAACCCCTGTTGAAGGTGCGGCCCAGGCCTGGCCTCGGGATGGCAGTGCATGCTGCATCCTCCGGTGCTCCGACAGCGCAGGCCCGGGGCCGGGGTCCTCAGCTGGGCAGGAATGGCGGCCTCCCCTTTAGGCTCTGGGTGGTGCTGAGGTCACATCCCAGCAGCCAGCCCCATCTGGGAAAGGTGTGGGTGAGGGCCTCGGCAGGTGTGTGCCTGGCCTCTGCTGCCTTCCAGGAGGGGCGTGCTGGGGGAGAAGGCGGCTCCTGACTTGGGCTTCCTTGGCTCGTGCACGGGGCTGTCCTGGGCGTCACATGTGTCTCACGCGCTGTCCTCTGCCCCGCAGGCTGTGATGCGCCGCTGGCTGCCCGCTGGAGACGCCTTGTTGCAGATGATCACCATACACCTGCCCTCCCCTGTGACAGCCCAGAAGTACCGCTGTGAGCTCCTGTATGAGGGGCCCCCGGACGACGAGGCTGCTATGGGTATGTGGTCCTGGGGGCCAGGCCTGAGCTGCAGCTTGAGGCTGTGGCCGGAAGACTGGACATTGCCAAGGTTGCTTGGGCTGCGGGGTTCCAAAAGGACGAGCCAAGCTGGAATGAACCTCTGGCTTTCCTCTGTTTGTCAGGCATTAAAAGCTGTGACCCCAAAGGCCCCCTTATGATGTATATTTCCAAAATGGTGCCAACCTCCGACAAAGGTCGGTTCTATGCCTTTGGACGGGTCTTCTCGGGGCTGGTCTCTACCGGCCTGAAGGTCAGGATCATGGGGCCAAACTACACCCCCGGGAAGAAGGAGGACCTCTACCTGAAGCCCATCCAGAGGTGAGTGGCTGGGTGATGGCCCGTCAGGAGCATCGAGGGAGTGCAGGGTGACACTTGTGCTAGTCATGGCTTTTGTCATCATGGCCTAGCGGGGGAATCCCTGGAGCATAGCAAACCTTAGCTCATTTGTGTCCCTGGGCTCCAAGTTGGTAGCAGCAGTCTTGTTCCATACCCAGGGAGAGGGCAGCAGTTAACTCCAAAGAGGATGTGTTTCCTGGCAGCCCCCACGCAGCAGTCGGGGCCTTGTGGCAGCTGCCTGCCTTGGGACCAGGCAGGAGGGCCACCAACTCTGGGAGGTACCCACCCTGGACCTAGAGGATCCAGCAGAACCATGGCCTTCTGCTTCTTCCCAGAACAATCCTGATGATGGGCCGCTACGTGGAGCCCATCGAGGATGTGCCTTGTGGGAACATTGTGGGCCTGGTGGGTGTGGACCAGTTCCTGGTGAAGACGGGCACCATCACCACCTTCGAGCATGCCCACAACATGCGTGTGATGAAGTTCAGCGTCAGCCCCGTCGTCAGGGTGGCCGTGGAGGCCAAGAACCCGGCTGACCTGCCCAAGCTTGTGGAGGGTCTGAAGAGGCTGGCCAAGTCCGACCCCATGGTGCAGGTGGGCGCGGAGTGCACTCACTGTGGGTAGACCCTCAGAGGGGGTCAGCTTGGGGCCTCGTCTGTAGCTGTGTGGATTGCTGTGGTTATAAGATTGGAAAGGAGGGATTCCTAGCTGTGTGGAAAACTGCTTGAGTGGGGATCATGCCTCGAAGCTGGAAGTCCTATAGATGGGTACTCCTGCCTAGTACCACCCTTTCCTAGGCTGCTCTGCGCATGTGCACTGTAGCCTGTGGTCTTAGGTTTCTTCAGTTCATACTGAGAAGCAGCACAAAGTGTCTGGGCTTTGTGCTGCTTCCGGTGGTCCCAGGATCCCAGCACCTTCCTCTGAAATCTTGTCCTGTTAGAGTCCAGCTTCTCCCCAGCTAAAGGGAACCAGGGAGCCTATTCCCAGCCCCGCAGCCCGCACCCCACGCTGCTGCTGACACGTGTCCCTTTCAGTGCATCATCGAGGAGTCCGGAGAGCACATCATTGCGGGTGCTGGCGAGCTGCACCTGGAGATCTGCCTCAAGGACCTAGAAGAGGACCATGCCTGCATCCCCATCAAGGTGAGCTTGGAGCACCAGTGATCGGCTGTCCCCGTGCCCCCCAGGCTGAGACAGTCTGTTTCCACTGTGTTCTGGGCACTCAATCCCACTCTCAGCTTTAAAGCTGAGCTGGGCTCTGCACAGGCTCCTAGACTTGATTTTGGCCTTGGTCTTCATTAGGGTCTTCTGCAGACGAGTGGGACTGTTTTGTTTTGAGATGGTGTCTCGTTCCAGTCCTGGATGGTGGAGCGCAGTGGCGCCATCGCTGCTCAATGCAGTTGCCATCTCCTGACTTCAAGCGATTCTCCCGCCTCACTTTCCCAAGTAGCTGAGATTACAGGTGCCTGCCACCACGCTCAGCTGATTTTTGTATGCTTATTGCAGGCTGGATTTCACCATGTTAGCCAGGCTAGTCTAGAACGCCTGACTTCGTGATCCACCTGCCTTGGTCCTCCCCAAGCTGCTAGGACTATAGGCATGAGCCACCGTGCCCAGCCAGCGGAGCCGACTGAGTTCCTCACAGACCGCTCATCCCACTGGCTTCTGTCCACAAACATAAATGCTCAGTGCGGTCGGGCCAGGCCTGCTCCAGACCTGGTTTCTCGCCCATGGATGCTTAGAATTGGGCAAGCCCATGGTTGTCTGTGCCAGAGAGCTCAGTGGAGCCCTGCTCCTTGTCCCAGGTGGCGGTGAGATACGTTTGCCGGTGCATCACTTGACGCCTTGATTCTGACTGGTGTGACTCTGCCAGGCTGTATTAAGTCTGCCTTGCTGAGAAAATCTTTTTAAGGATGCCTCTGCGTGTTAAGTTCCTGCTTTCTCCAGGCAGGTGTGTGACCTTTTTCTTCTTTCTGCAGAAATCTGACCCTGTCGTCTCTTACCGTGAGACGGTCAGTGAAGAGTCCAACGTGCTCTGTCTCTCCAAGTCCCCCAACAAGCACAACCGGCTGTACATGAAGGCACGGCCCTTCCCCGATGGCCTGGCTGAGGACATTGACAAGGGCGAGGTGTCTGCCCGCCAGGAGCTCAAGCAGCGGGCGCGCTACCTGGCTGAGAAGTACGAGTGGGATGTGGCCGAGGCCCGAAAGATCTGGTGCTTTGGGCCCGACGGCACCGGCCCCAACATCCTCACCGACATCACCAAGGGCGTGCAGTACCTCAACGAGATCAAGGACAGCGTGGTGGCCGGCTTCCAGTGGGCCACCAAGGAGGTGAGGCACAGCCACCATAGGCAGGCCACACCCATGCTTCCAGCGTCTTGAAGGGACCTTAGGGTCCTGCCTTCCGGGACAAGGGACCCTGGGGCTGAGGTGGGCAAGACCAGTTCCCTTAGTGGAGACCTGCAGGGCTTGGCATGGGGAGGGAGGGCAACAGCCAGGGTGCATTCAGCCCTAGACGGCGGCTCTCCCCTTGCCCAGGGTGCACTTTGTGAGGAGAACATGCGGGGCGTGCGCTTCGACGTCCATGACGTGACCCTGCATGCCGACGCCATCCACCGCGGGGGTGGTCAGATCATCCCCACGGCGCGGCGCTGCCTCTACGCCAGTGTGCTGACCGCCCAGCCGCGCCTCATGGAGCCCATCTACTTGGTGGAGATCCAGGTGAGGCCCCCCACCCGCCTCTCCCCTGCCCCTGTCCTGCCTGACGGCCATTGACAGTATCTCTTCCACTCCGGCAGTGCCCAGAGCAGGTGGTCGGTGGCATCTATGGGGTGTTGAACAGGAAGCGGGGCCATGTGTTTGAGGAGTCTCAGGTGGCCGGTACCCCCATGTTTGTCGTCAAGGCATACCTGCCCGTCAATGAGTCCTTCGGTGAGTTCCGGCCTGGCGTGGCCCAC